GCATTTTACAACATTTCGCGACGAAAATTCGGAATTTTACTAATTTTGTGATGCTCTTCCAAGCTGTGCTGAAATTTTTGTCTAGACTTGGGTAGATCAAAATTTTGTTCATTAGGGAATAGGTCCATTGCAAGCCAACATTGGGATTATGACTGAACATTTCTATAGTACAAATTTACATGTGGATATCATCAAATGCGCTTTACATAAAGTATTTCGCTTGCCTAATTACTTAACCTAGACTATTTTATCTTTACAACAATTGTGATATTAGTTTCTTTATCATGTTCATTTTGAAATCATGCACGATTCGAGCAATCTGGTTGGCTAAAGAATAGTGCGATTACAGCCCAAATCGGACTATTTTAGAGCTGTTATAGCACAATTTTGAGCTTTGCTCGCATCAGCAGGAGTTGTAATCGCATCATTTTTAAACCAATCGTATTGAAGCTTTGAATCATTATAACCAACGAGGTTGTCTAATTTAATAAACTAACCAATCAAATTAAAGAGGCAAATTAACAAGAATTCAAGCTTTTTGATAATTTAATTGCCCAAGCTAATTCTTTTTAAAAATGGATGAATTCGATGACTTACAATTTCTTTTTGACGATAATATTAAGCTCTTGCAAGCTGCAACTTTGTATGACGAAAATAGCAGGCATTATTTGGTACATCGACAGAAAGTGTTGCTTTGAATAGCAATGTTTTGTATTCCCGCCAGTCCAATGAAGGCCGTATAGATGTGCCCAAAACCACACCAAACGAAGCTATTCAAAACAGCAAAGTAGATGTTCCTTAATTTCCTGAAGTTCACCTTAACGATATAGAAAAACTATACGGTCTTTGTCTGTAAATACAACACGTCTGGGTCGACCAAACACTGGATGAATTTGTTTAAACCCTGGTGTATATGGCGACGTATGCAAAATGTAAATATTGAAACAATGCCAACGGAATACCTTGACAAACTCCTTGGGAAATTTTACGCAGAAATAAAAACAAGACTGTGGAGACTACGAGCCAGAATCATTGAGAATTATACATTGTGATCTTGAACGATATCTTAAAGAGAAAGGGTATCAAATAAGCATTCTACGCGGTAGAAAGTTTCAGAAATCACGTAAAATATTGAACGCGAAAGCCATCTTTTTCGCCAACAAGGAAAAGGAAAGAGACCAAATAAAGCTCAGTCATTGAGTCCAGATGAAGAATAAGCGCTCTGGGAAAAAGATCAACTCGATGATTTTAATGCACGGGTCCTAACAAACACTACCTTTAAAAATTTAACGGAGCAATTTGGTTTACGCGGCCGCCAGGAGCATTACGATTCTTACGTGCAGGACTTCATTGTAAGACAAAAAGTGGACGGCAGTGAAGTCGTTGAATTTCGCCACGGTCTTACAAATACGCAAAGTGGTGGTCTCCGTATACGACAATTAAAGAACAGCACTCCAGCTTATGTTTGGTACAGACGGAGGAGAAAAAGATCCTGTACGCTTATTCAAGCTTTGGTTGCCCAAGAGACCTGAGAGAATGAAAGACAACAGCCCACTTTACTTATCCGTGATACATCGACCGGAATCGTCCAACGTCTGGTACACGAAAATTCGCATGGGCCAAAATACCATTGGTAATATTATGAAGTCCATGGCAACACAAACAAGAAATTAACGACCACAGCATGAGAAAATCTCTCGTATGCAAACTAAAGAAATCCGGGCAATTAACCGTGTAACGTAATCAGTGAAATTACCGGTCACTCACGAGAATCATCCTTAGACGACTATGACCAAATTGACGAAAATCGAAGACAAAATTTATCACATGTCATCACTGGATATCAAGGCAAAGGTCCAAATGTAAAGATTCGAAAGTGTTGGCATCCGTAAGCATGCCTCGAACATCTGAAGCATCGAGTACAAATATCATCGCCTTAATTTCAACTTCGAGTTCGAATGCAGCAGAAACAAAGCCTCGAAGAAAGCCATTCACCAATGGATTTTAATCCTAACATTCAGCCGAATGGATTTCCCAACTTTGCTCCCCAGTATCCAACCATTTCAATGTCCAATTTCAACGGTTGTACGATAAACAACTATTTCAGCGAGTATTTCCCATCGTCTTCACAGCCAAAGAAAAACGCAGAGCTTTTGTATTGGATTCAGACGACAAAGATTGAACATTATATGTGTTGTTGAACTTTTTTATAAAAGTTCAAATTTTTAAAAAAGTCAAATAAACACTGATCGTGCTAGTTTGAAAACGTTTGTTGTTCGTTGCGATTGTGCCATATATCCTGGGCCGTTGCTAGGACTTTGTCATGGGGGGTGGGGGCAGATTAGATGTACCTGAAGTTTTTCAACTTAAAGTTTTTACATGATTTTGCGAGGTGCCACCATGGTTGGTGCCGAGGAAACCTTTTTGCAAATTTGAAGTCTCCTGACCGTCGGAAATGGCATTTTTAGAGTCTTTCCAACACAATATTTCAATATTTTAGTATTGGCTGACAATGAAGATGTGTATTATTAGTTAGAGTTTAATATGACTATGAAAATAGAGAAAATTTTTGAACTATTAGGTCTCCAGATCGTCAGAAAGAGTATTTGACCTTGTCGCCTCCTGCCATGACACCTCTCAACGTCTTTGGTTGGTCTTTAGTTGTTAACTCTAATTCTGATTCAGAGCATAGATTTACTTTTTCATGCCCTGATAATTACCAGAATTTAGCTGAAATCTACTGGAAATCTACCTGTCCTAGCTTGTGAGCAATTACCAGGGGGGTCGTCCCCCTCCTTCACACTCCCGGTCGCTACGACACTGTATATATCACGTGTACATGACACTTTAATTACTATAAATGTGCAAGAAATATTTGGTGTAAAACAAGTTCCGGTTTTCCGTTCAATAAAATAAATTTCTTGCGTGATTTTATTTTTACGTGATTTCAAAATGAATATGATAAGTGGTCATTCGAACTTCGTGTCGTGCAAGTTTGGTCTGAAATGAAACTTGTGATTATAAATTGCACTCCCGCTTCGCGTTAGTGCAATTTTGTAATCACGCGTTTGATTTCTGACCAAATTGTACTCCACTCAGTTTAATTACCATTATTAACTGTGTTTATCCTGATCTATCCTGCAAACTTCCATGTGGGACGAAACCGGAGCAACTGGAAGAAAACCCACGACTTTCGGCAGAGTGTTGACTGTTGACTGACTCTTATAACATGAGTCCGTAGCGAGAATCAAACCCACAAACTCAGAGGTGTTTGCTCTGATGACTACGCTATCAAAGCCCCGTACACTGGCGTAGCCAGAGCAATATAGCCGGGGCGGCATACAAATTTTAAATCATTACCATTATTCATTTCTTTTCAATTTATTGTTTTTACAATCTATGAAAACGACAACATTTGCATTGCATCCCCGTGTATATTGCACTGGCTACGCCAGTGGCCCCATTGCTATGAGAAAATGAAGTGATGACCGCCCATCGCGGTACATTTTGACCACCCATCGCGGTACATTAAATATTCTATCTTGTATAAACAAATACCAGTCTGCAAAAGACGCTACAAAATAATTTTGTGAATGATTTGAAGCAAATGGTAATACAGACTTCAACATTGTGTTTTTGCACTTGGTGTTTCATATATACATTTCACTTCATTAATATTGGAAGAATGTTGTTTTAGTTTGTATTAACTATATGTTCGTGCATTCAATACAAGCAGTGTAGTAATATGTAAATATAAAACAAATGATAAGAGTTTATAAAATAAACTTCCTACTAGCTAGTCGACTCGCACCGTAACGCATTGTAACTTGTCTCGTATTGTAATTAGGCGTAAAACGAGTGAGAACGCGTGGGCGAATGAAACAAATGCGAGTACTTGTAGCAAGTCTATTTCTAGAGCTGCGTGATAAGATAACGTATTGTAGACCACCTTTTCCAAAAACTCATAAGTTCGGGTGTAGTAGACCGCATGCATGATTGGCACAAAGATTATTTGCATCAACGATTCCAACGAGTTGTTGTAGACGGTGCAGTCTCCGACTAAGCACATGCTACTTCGGGTGTTCCACAAGGAAATATTTTGGGTCCTATGCTATTGGATATATGGACGGAATGATAAAGTATAACAAATAAATGAAAGAAATATAAGTACTATAAACGCAAACATTCATCAAAAACTGACTAAAGCTTGGTTCACACGATGAAATAAGCATATGACAAGAACTGTTAAACTTGTTTGTCATTGACATTTTATGTATTGTTTCAAACTATCGGCGTTTCTTGTTTTAAAATTAATCTTTTTTGTGGAACCATTTCCATATTTTAGAACAAGACGTTCTTGTCAACATGTTGTGACCAAAGCAATATAAATGTTTTCTTTTCTGGTAACACCACAGGGAGCAGAGGAGTCGAGTTTTCGTTGTACAATGTACACGTCTTGCGTCAATTTGACAGTTGACAGTTTATTTATCGCAGTCGATGCTGATTGGTTCGCGTTTAGCAGATGCGAAAAGGGAATGATTGAATATAACACATGGTTCCATGGGTCGCAGGCTAGAAAATTTAGGGCGGGAAAAGTTAGGCGGGAGGGCGAGAATAACCGTCTGCCGGGTTTTTATATGATTTCGTTTGCCGCTCTTTTCACGTCCATATTAAAAGTTTATTCCAACAGCCAATCAGAGTTCAACTTTTGCAATATTTACATTACGCTAGGAAATTGACACGTTGCAAAAGTTGCAAATACTTCACTAGTGAAGTCAGACAGCTACGTAAACTGTAAACAAGTGTCGTAGGTTTAAAAAATGAGATGTGTCGAGTATGAGTGAGCGAGATACTCCAAAGAAGACCGTTAACAAAGGAAGAAGGCAAAAACCTTTGTATGTGAATGAGTTTTGCAGGTTGTGTAAATGTCTTTTGAAATTGAAATTCGGAAATTTTGAGAAACAAAGGAAAAACAAGTCAGAGTGCCAAACGAGGATGATATGGAAGTTGAATCTACAGTATGTTTTTCTGAGGAAACAGTATCCAAGTATACAACATTTGATACTGACACTTACAATCATTGCAAGGAAGTGCTAAGAGAAGTTGCTAACAGCGACTGCACTATCAACGATGACCATTTGGTAGAAGCAATAAACTTTTTGTCATTCGAAAAGCTTCCATTGACATTGTACAAGTAAGTAATTTTCACTTTTATTTCGACTCGTGTTTAGAAAACAAATGAAATATAATATACATGTACACTAATTGTGTACTCTAACAATTATACGCGAGCGAAAAATGTTCCTTTTATAGTATTTGTTTTTCTGACATGTATAGAAATTACTTTATTGCAAAGCGTTATATTTCTATTTTTAAATCGTATTCTGAAGCATTGCTTTATCATGCAAACATACAAGAACCATTAATGTTTGTTTATGTTATTTGTAAACATAGCATACGATTTCTAAAAAAAAGGCACAATTTTCAACACATTTCGAAATGTTTTGTCACTTTTATGGTTGTTCATCTTAGATCTTGACTCTATACGGGAGTAGCAAATACAATATGGGCCTAATGGCTAAGAGTCAAAAAGGAAGCCTATGCGTTTTGAAAGTATCATTATAATATAATTTTTCCCATTAAGAGTTAAGTGCCTTTTCGTTTTGATTTTCTTGTGTAGACTAGTCGGTGACAACATTGACATTAATATTCAAGCAAAGATTCAAAGTCAGGCACACACAAACCGTTCTGTCCTTTGGACCCAACAGTATGTAATCCAAAATCGCATAAACGAGCCATCATTTGACACGAAAAGCCTACAGATACCCTTAAAATACATCGACTTAATCCAGTTGTTGCCAGATAAAAAAGTCCAGCAAAACCTAAAGATGAGATGGGCATCATTGGTGGGGAGGGTTATTTGCCAATACTTGGCAAAGTGCAAACACTTAAACAGTGTTGCTGTGCACAATATCAATCAAGCATACTAGCTCAAAAGGAATGGCACTATCCAGTCGTGAATGGCATATAAACACAACAAAAAAGGACGTATGAGTATACCAAACTCCCAGAAAAGATGTGACAATGAAATTCTAACTACAGTACAATAGCTACAAACGACTTCTGATTAATTTAAATGAATAGACCACTTGCTTTTGTCCATTGAATGTAATTTAACATGACAATGTTTATACAAATAACAAAACTTTATTTTGCTTGTCAATAAACATTAACATTTATAGGCCGTGGGCTGTTGGCCAAAATTATTTCGCTTCGTGGCAACCATGTGGGAAATACTTGGTTTGGGGTTTATTTGCAAGGCATATAGGTACATCATTACCAAAAAAAAGTTCCCAAGCAAAAATTTGCCCAATACCATGAAAATGGGTGATCAATGATTATCCTCTATTAAATTGTATTACAGCAAAAAATTGGAAATTTTATGATTCAATTACAATAAAAATGACTCCATTATCGGAAAACGTACAAAAACCGCATATAAGACTTTTAATGTCGCAATAAGGACTGGGTACTAGGTCAAAAACGCGTTTTTGACAGCGTATAACTCGAAAACTATTTTAGATATAAAGAAACTGTTTAAAGTACTTATATGTATGTTTTTGTAAGCTTTCTGATTATGCAAGTCATTTTTGTTGTAATTGAATACAAAATTTCACATTTTATTTCTGTAATACAATTTAATAGAGGATAATCACTGATCACCCATTTTCTCGGTGTTGGGCAAGTGTTTTGCTTGGGAACTTTTTGTGGTAATTAAGAGGCTGTCTCCGTAAAAACCTCCAGGTCAATATGGGGCTCAAAAACAGATTTCTCTCATACTCTAGTATTTTGAAGACCTATCCTTGGGAACGACTAAAGTGGATTTCATTTTACTCAAATTTTCTTTAAATTATTTGGGGGGCGATTGATGTTCGATCGGCTGGTAACTAACTTGAACTCCGAATGAAGGCAAATATCGACATATTTTCAGCGCTATTTTTTAAATCAAATTCATACTTAAATATGAAAATTTTTGCTCAGAAATATAGACTTAACCTTCTATTTTTGCTGGTGATATGACTTAGATAATTATTCTTTGGTATAAAATAGAAAACAGCGCAGTTATTGACCCTCCTGAACGGATAACGGATATCGCCTCAAAATATGTCAACTTCGAAGGCATGTACTAAAACATGGACTGGACTCATTAGTAAAACATGGACTGGACCCGATCAGTAAAACATGGACTCTATTAGTAAAACATGGACTCTATTAGTAAAACATGGACTCTATTAGTAAAACATGGACCCGATCAGTAAAATATGGACTCTATTAGTAAAACATGGACTCTATTAGTAAAACATGGACTCTATTAGTAAAACATGGACTCTATTAGTAAAACATGGACCCGATTAGTAAAACATGGACTCGATTAGTAAAACATGGACTCGATTAGTAAAACATGGACT